AAATCCTACCTTCTCTCCACTTTCCTATTATTGTTAGGGGTACCACCACCCTCCCATTACAGTAAATCTGTTGTCAAATACTTTGTTTCTACTTCTATAACATGTCTCATATATTACTCTTTCTTTCCCCTTACACAGCCTCACCCTAGTCCCCACCCTTATCACCTCTTACAAGGATTACTACAATACCTATTTAATTGGTCTCCTAGCTTCCATTTTCTCCTCATGCTAATCCATTTTCCACTTAGATTCCAACATGATTTTCCTAAGTATAGACCTGATCATTTCACAAACCTACTCAATAAATTCTAGTGGCTCCTAATCATCCCCAGACTCTCACTTTGGCTTTTAAATCCCTTAACAACTTGGCCCCTCCCTACTTTTTCAGTCTTCTTATACATTATTCCCTCCATGCAGTCTAAAATCTTGGCCTATTTCCTGCTTTTCGTGCATGTCAGTCCAACTTCCAACTTTGTGTTTTACATGGTTGTCCTCCATTTCAACAATGATCTCCTTCCTCACCTCAGACTCCTGGCTTTCCTGGATTCCTTCTTAAACCCCACCTTATTCAGGAGGTCTTTCCCACATCCACTGTGGTTTCTTTTTCTCTGAGATTATAATATATATACATATACATATATATAAATACACATATACACACATGCATACACATATAAAATAGATAAATCTTTGGTTAATTTGATTTAAAGAAAGAAAAAAGAAAAACAAATTACCAGTATCAAAAATGAAAAGGGTGAATTCATCACCAATGAAGAGGAAATTAAAAATAATAATTAGGAACTATTTTGCTCAACTCTATGTCAATAAATTTGACAATCTTAGTGAAATGAATGAATATTTACAAAAATAGAAATTGCCCAGATTAAAAGAAGAGGAAGTAAAATACTTAAATAACCTCATCTCAGAAAAAGAAATTGAACAAACCATCAACGAACTCCCTAGGAAAAAATCTCCAGGGCCAGATGGATTTACAAGCAAATTCTATCAAACATTTAAGGAACAATTAATTTTAATACTATATAAACTACTTGGGAAAATAGGCAAAGAAGGAGTCACCAAATTCTTTTTATGATACAATTACGATACTGATACCTAACCTGGAAGAGTCTAAACGCAGAAAGAAAACTATAGACCAAAAATTAGCAAAAAGATTACAGCAACTTATCACAAGAATAATACACTATGATCAGGCAGGATTTATACTAGGAATGCAGGGCTGGTTCAATTAGGAAAACTATTAGCATAATTGATCATATCAACAACAAAACTAACAGAAACCACATGATTATCTCAATAGATACAGGAGAAGCTTTTGACAAAATAGAATACCCATTCCTATTACAAACACTAGAGAGCATAGGAATAAATGGAACCTTCCTTAAAATGATAAGTAGCATCTACCTAAAACCATCAGCAGGCATTGTATGTAATGGGGATAAGCTAGAAGCATTTCCAATAAGATCAGAGGTGAAGCAAGGATGTTTATTGTCACCACTGTTATTCAATATGGTACTAGAAACGTTAGCTTTAGCAATAAGAGAAAATAAAGAAATTGAAGGAATTAGAATAGACCAAGAAGAAACTAAGTTATCACTCTTTGCAGATTATATGATGATATACTTAGAGAATCCTAGAGAATCAAATAAAAAACTACTTGAAATAATAAACAACTTCAGCAAAGTTTCAGGCTATAAAATAAACCCACATAAATCATCAGCATGTCTATATATTACCAACGAAGCCCAACAGCGAGAGATAGAAACAGAAATTCCATTTAAAGTTACACAGACATTATAAAATATTTGGGAGTCTACCCGCCAAAATAAACCCAGGAACTCTATGAACACAATTACAAAACACTTTTCCCACAAATACAGTCAGATCTAAATAACTGGAAAAACATCAGTTGCTCATGGGTAGGCTGAGCTAATATAATAAAAATGACAATTCTACCTAAATTAATTTACTTATTCAGTGCCATACCAATCAAACCACCAAAAAATTATTTCATGGAGCTAGAAAAAACAGTGACAAAATTCATCTGGAAAAAACAAAATGTCCAGAATGTTAAGGGAATTAAAGAAAAGAAATGCTAGGGAAGGTGGCCTAGCCATACCAGATCTTGCATTGTAAAGCAGCAATCATCAAAACTACTTGGTATTGGGGCAGCTAGGCGGCGCAGTGGATAGAGTACTGGCCCTGAAGTCAGGAGGACCTGAGTTCAAATCTGACCTCAGACCAAACACTTGACACTTACTGGCTGTGTGACCCTGGACAAGTCACTTAGCCACAATTGCCTAAAAAAAAACACAAAAACAAAACAAAACAAAACAAAAAAACAAACTACTTGGTATTGGCTAAGAAATAGAGTGGTAGATCAGGATAAGTACATAAGACATAGTTGTCAATGACTATAGTAATCTGCTGTTTGATAAACCCCAAAATCCCAGTTTCTGGGATAAGAACTCACTATTTGACAAAAACTGCTGGGAAAACTAGAAAACAGTATGGCAGAAACTAGGCATAGACTAACATCTTACACCACATATCAAAACAAAATAAAAATGGGTACATGATTTAGATATAAAGGCTGATGCCATAAGCAAACTGGGAGAATAGCAAGGAATAGTTTACCTGGCAGTTTATGGAGAACAGGAGAAGTTATGACCAAACAAGAGATAGATAACATTATGAAATGCAAAATGGATAATTGTGATTACATTAAATTGAAAAGCTTTTGTACAAATAAAGCCAATGCAAGGAGGGAAGCAGAAAATTGGGAAAGAATTTTTACAACCAGTGTCTCTGATAAAGGCCTCATATCTAAAATATATAGAGAACTAAGTCAAATTTATAAGAATACAAGTCATTTTCCAATTGATAAATAGTCAAAAGATATGAACAGGCCATTTTCAGATGAAGAAATTAAAGCTATCTATAGTTATATGAAAAAATGCTCTAAGTCACCATTGATTAGAGAAATGCAAATCAAAACAACTCTGAGGTACCACATCACACCTATCAGATTGGCTAACATGACGAAACAGAAAAACAATAAATGTTGGAGAAGATGTCAGGTCTTCCTGACTCCAGGCCCAGGACTCTTTCCAATGCAACATCGAGATCCCTCTGGACCTCTTAGCCCCCAAGCCAAGATGCTGTGTCAGGAAAACTGGATCCAATGAGGTTGCATTGTGGGAAAGAAGTCAGAGAACTCAGGGATGCTGAAGCAAGAGAACACTGATTCTATCACATCTAGTATCTATAAAATATTTTTAAAAATCTCTATAAAGTCTTTACGTGTTATTATCAAGCAGTTATGGAAATAATGGAGACAATAACTCCATATAGTAAGAACGCAGGATTGGTTTGCAATTTACGATGATAAAGAGAATACTTATACTGGTGAAATGATGAAGACAGAAAGGTATAGCTAATTAAAGGCTTGAATGAATGTTAAAGAATCTGGGTTTTATGACAAACCACTATAAATTTCTAAAGGGAGCAGCATAAATGTCTGAATAACGTGTTTCTTACTCTCACAAGGCATGATGAATTTGAAAGAAGAACTGAAATAAAGTCTAGCCTCTCAATAGAGAGACACTACCACTGGGATTCAATAATAGCTTAAACCAATTTTTAATGCACTCCAGATGGATTATAGTGAAATAAAAACATCAAATTTCTGAGGAAACAAAATTACAGACCTTAACAATACTTTAGTGAGCTCAAATAATTAATGAATAATTTACAGTACATAATGTAATCCAGATAGTAGAATAACTTATTTGTCTAAATACAATCTACATTTTTCCTAATGTTTGAAGTGAACATTATCAAAAGTCATTTATTTTCCTGGTTCTAAATTACTCTTAAAGGAGTGCTTTTCACTTCTTTTAATGGACAAAAGGTTAATGATATTCAACACATCTTGAATTTTAAATATATCCTTTAACAAAATATGGGTCTTGCATGCAAATTATTAGTTCACACAGTTATTTAAGTATTTTACTTCCTTTTCTGTTAATATGGGCAATTTATATTTTTGTAAATATGTATCCATTTCACTAAGATTGTCAAATTTGTTGGCATATAGTTGGGCAAAATAATTCCTAATTGTTGTTTTAATTTCCTCTTCCTTGGTGGTAGTTTCACCCTTTTCATTCTGGATACTAGTAATTTGGTTTTCTTCTTTCTTTTTTTTTAATTAGATTAACCAAAGGTTTATCTATTTTATTGTTTTTTTCATAAAACCAGCTCTTAGTTTTATTTATTAGTTCAATAGTTTTCCTAATTTCAATTTTCTTAATTTTTCCTTTGGTTTTCAATATTTCTAATTTGGTATTTAATTGAGGATTTTTAATTCTTTCTTTTTCTAGTTTTTTTAGTTGTATGCCCAATTCATTGATCTCCTCTTTTTCTATTTTATGTATGTAAGCATTTAGAGATATAAAACTTCCCCTAAGAACTGCTTTTGCTGCATCCCATAAGTTTGGGTATGTTGTCTCATTATTGTTATTCTCTTGAATGAAATTATTGATAGTTTCTATGATTTGTTCTTTGACCCAATCATTTGTTAGGATTAGATTATTTAGTTTCCAATTATTTTTTAGTCTATCTTTCCATGGCCCTTTATTACATATAATTTTTAATGCATCATGATCTGAAAAGGATGCATTTACTATTTCTGCCTTTCTGCATTGGATTGTGATGCCCTAGTACACGGTCAATTTTTGTATATGTGCCATGTACCGCCGAGAAAAAAGTATATTCCTTTCTATCCTCATTCAGTTTTCTAGTTCATACAGTTTTGAAATGAAGCTTAAATACTAAAAATAGTTTTAGTTCTACTGGAATTATTACAATATAATAATTTCATCTACTTAAGTTGTTAAAAAACAATCCCTTGGAACCCTAATCAGTAAGAATTTAGGCACTTTGGAAATTTTTAAGTTAACAAGATGCCGAAAAATACATACCTGAATATAATGAGAACAGATGCCATAACATGAGTTATTATCATAATTGTAGAATGTGTTTTCACTGAACCAACTTTTGATAGCAAAAGTTGCAGAATATTCATTATCAGGGCCAGTCCATATATTTTCACCAAGGCCACTAAAAACAGGATGAGATGTTCTCATTTCTTCTAAATGAGCATTACCTTCAGGAACACATTTCTTTGCCCAGGCTCTGGCAGTCTTTGCCAAAGCTTCATCCCAAGTCTGCAAACCAAAACAAGTAAGTTTTAGCTATGCTTTGAATTATTTCAGCATTCTAAAATGAGATATACAATTGGTCAGAAATGACAGCAAGTGTCTTCCAAAAGTCCAGATTGATAAAAAAGGCCAAAAGGAGAGGAAAGATGATGTAAACACAAAATTTAAATATGAGGGATTAGACTGGAGTATTTGAATGGGAAAGGAGTAAAGAAGGAAGGAGTGAAATAGAAACAATATATATTTTGGAAAGGGGAGTTACAAATTAGAGGGAGAAAGAGCAGTAATAAAAGTAAATTCTAGAAACTTAGAATGGGGCAGGAAAGGGGAATTAGTAGGAGGAGATAGGGATATTTTACTATAAACAAAACAAATCACAAAGACTAATACTGACCTAATAAAGAGGGAAGCAGGGAATACAATATAAAATAGTTTAACAAAGGCATAAATTTAACAATTATAACTTTAAATGTGAATGGATTAAACATCTTTGTAAAAAAAAAGAATGGAGGAATGGACTTTTAAAATTGCTTTATTTGAAAAACACATTTAAAATATACTGAAATGGATCTGTGCTCTCACCAACTTGAATGCCTTTTCCAATTATGCATATTGCAACCTATCCACGCCTTCCCATGCTGGGCAACTCTTGTCCATGTGTCCTCTACCTCCATAATTTAGTAACCTCTTTTCCTGTGCTGAGGTTCATTTAATCCATATCTACCACTCAAACAAAATCCTTAGCTGTTGTCTACCAAACTTTAAGACATTTTTCTTTCCTTAAAGAGTTCAGTGCCTGGCTCACAGTCTTCCTCTCCTCCTCTCCTCCTGCCATCATACTTGGATGTGTATGTGTATGTGTATGTGTATGTGTGTGTGTGTGTGTGTATGTGTGTGTATCTACACACATACATATAAACATATATGTATATATATATTCTCATATGTGTGTATAGATAAGTAGATAGATATTTCCTTAAACATCCTAACCTCACAGCTCCTAAATTTACACATTTCCCATGATCTACTCCTCCAAGTCACTTCAGCCACACTCCTGAACTTGACATCATCCACAAATGTACCACTTCCACGTTCGTGAGCTCTGAAATACCCTCATCAGATTACAATCTATGTCATTCCACATCTCTTGCTGCCTCGCAACTCAAAGTCCTGTTCTTCATCTGCACCATGATTTGTAATCCATCGATTCCTAAATTCTTTCAAGGCCATTACCCCTGCACTAGTTATGTTCTTCTCCCTTCCCCATCCTGACCCACTGCTAAACTTGTTCAACACAACACTGTTAACTTCTCTTGAGTCCCGTGCTCCTTTTTCATATAGTCTATCTTGCCCTGTCATGTCTCAGCCTTCTATCACTTCCATTATTGCTGTCTTTACTGCCACACATATGCTCCTGAATGAAGCTTGAGAAAATCATAAAACTATATTACTGTATCAATAAATTTATGTTACATAACTTTAACCGGGTTTTCACTATTGGTAGGTAATCCTTTTACATTTCCTTAACTGACTCACTATCTCATTCTCCACAGTCTTCCAAATCTTTTCACTTCTCTTCAAACCTCCATGGCTCTCCCACCCACCCACCCTCCCAGCTGAGAACCTCATAGTTTATTGAAAAATTGAAGCCATTCACAGAAAGCTTCCTCTTTCCCTCTCCTCCTCATCTTATATTACCCAAATGTGTTTCACCACTATCTCTTCCTTCACCCATTTCTTAGGTAATGAGGTAGCCTTTCCCCTTGCCAAGGCAAACCCCTTTACATGCAAAAATGGCCAAATTCCATCCTCTCTTCTACAGAAGACTGACCACTCTCTATCATCCTCAGCCTCTCACTTATCTTCAATTTCTCCCTGTCTACCTGTTACATTTCTCCTGTCTACCTGTTACTTCTCTATTGCCTGCAAACATGCCCATGTCTTTCCCATACTCAGAAAAATACTCTCACTTAATCCATCTGTCCTGCTAGTTATCCTCTCATATCTCTCCTCCCTTCTGTGGCTAAATATGCAAAGTTCGTCGACAATGGGTATCTCCACTTTCTCTCTTCTCAATCTCTTAATTGCCTTACAGACTGGCTGCCAACCTCATCATTCAACCAAAGATGAGTTAACTGCCAAAAGTTATTTAACTGCCAGTTTCCATGTTCTTCACTCAATCTTTATTCTTCTTGACCTCTCTGCACTCTCTAAAACTATCAATTACTCTTCTTGATACTTCTTTAGGTTTTTGTGACACTCATTTCTACTGGTTCTCCTCCTACCTGTAATATCACTCCTTTTCAGTCATATTTGCTGCTTCTTCATCCAGGTCATTTCTGCTAACTGCAGGGTGTCTCCCAGGGCTCTGCCTTTGGCCCTTTTTTCTATTTCACTTGGTAATCTCATCAACTCCCTTGGATTCAATTATTATCGCTATGATAATGATTCTCAAATCACTTGTTCAGCCCTAACCTCTTTGGTGACCTCCAGTCTCACACCTCCAACTTCTTATTGGACATCTCAAACTGGATGTCCCATAGACATCTTAAACTCAATAGTTCCAAAACTGAACTCATTATTCCAACCAAAACTCATCTTCCCAACTTTCCTATTACTTTTGATACGATCACCATTCTCATAGGCACCTGGCTTGAAATCTAGATGTTATCTTCTCTCTCATCTCCAATATCCAATCTCTCTCATCTCCAATATCCAATCTCTCTCATCTCCAATATCCAATCCAATATCCAAGCCTATCAATTATACCTTCATGACACCTTTCTTATATGACACCTTCTATCCTCTGCTTCTGCCACTACTCTGGTACAAGTGCTCATCACCTCATACCTGAATTATTAGAATACCCTGCTGGTTAGTTTTCCTACCACACGTCTCTCCCCACTCCAGGTCGTTCTCTGCTCAGCTATCACAGTGATCTTAAAGCTCATGTCCAACAATATCACCTTCTTACTCAATAAACTTCAGTGGCTCCTTATCACCTCCAGAATAAAATATAAAATCTTCTGTTGTCCAAAGCTCTTCATAACCTGCCACCCCACCGCCAACTTTGCAAGCTCCTTACAATTCATATTCCCACCGCATGAGGTACAGTCTGTGATCAGGGGCCAATAGTTTCCTTTTTGTTTGTTTTGCTTACCCCTATTCCTGGAATTCTTCCTCCTAATCTCTGCCTCCTAGCTTCCTTCAAGTCCCTCCTCCTCCAGGAAGCCTTTCCCCACCTCTCTTAATTCTAGAGTCTTCCCTCTGTTGCTTATTTCCAATTTATCCTACATACAGCCTGTTTGTACATAGCTGTTCGCCTGTTGTTGTTTCTATTAAACTGTAAGCTCTTAGGAGTAGTGACTCTCTTTTGTCTTTCTTTGTGTCCCCAGTGCTTAAGATAGTGCCTGACAGGTAGCAGGTGCTTAATATATGTTTCCTGATGGACTTAAGTTCACCATGGGAATTCAGCCAACAAACAGAAGACCTTCTTTGCTTCCTTCTAACATTGTGAGGATACCTGTGGAGCATGTTTTTCTTTTTTCTCACCATGCAACTAGTCCGTTTTCTTTTTCATTTATGCATTTAATGACATTCTTTATACCAAATCTTCTTCAAAGTTTCTTATTCATTATATGTAATAGCACACTTGCACCCACCATACATCTCTCCAGTCACATGATACTGATTTTAAATTCTTTAGAGACTATAATATTTCATGACTTGCAATTACACAATATATTATTGCAATATTTATATTAAAAATATGAACCTTTTTCTGGAGGAAGTTTGAAGTCATTACAAGAAACTTTGTAATTTCCCAAAGGAAATTCAGCCCACTCTCCATTTCTTCTTTGATTAGAAGCTCAACTTAGGTTGACTGTTTAACTGCATATCATAATCTTTGCAATAGATATTCTCCCTCTATACACTTTATTTTTCTATGTGGATAGTCAGGCCAAATTCTATTAAGTAGTTAAGATCTCTAAAGTGTTTGGTGTAAATAGCACAATCTCATCTGGTTTTTTAAAAGATTTTTTTTTAAATTTTTAAAATTTAAAAATTTTTTTAAAAATCTTTTTAAAATATTAGTAAAGTCTGAAAAATCTTCCAGATTTCTCCAACTGTGACATCTTCCCTCCTTTAGATACCTTGTTAATTAATCCTTTATTGTTCTCACAACTCTGTTGATTCCAGCACAGATTTCATATATATGTGTGTATATATAGATATAGATATAGGTAGATATAGATATGGATATATATTCGGTTTAATCCAGCTCCTTGTTCCACTTGCTGTTTTCTTTAGTGTCATTTCTACCTCTACCATCTACCCAGGGAATGGTGATATTAAAGTCCAAGTGTGGTGGTTCCCCTTTCTTTGATTGTGAAGAAAGTTTGTTTTAAAATCTTTACATAAGTGAAGTGAGCGGAACCAGGAGAACATTGTACACAGTAACAGCAACACTGTGCAATGTTCAACTATGAATAACTCAGCCCTTCTCAGCAATACAATGATCCAAGATACTTCCAAAGGACTAATGTTGGAAAATGCTACCCACATCCAGAGAAATAACCGATGGAGTCTGAATGCAGATAGAAGCATGTTATTTTCATTTTCTTTATTTTTTCTGGTTTTTTCCTTTTAGTCTGTTTCTTCTTTCACAACATGACTAATATAGAAATATGTTTTACAAGATTGCACATGTATAGCCTATTTAAAATTCTTACCTTTTTAGGGAGTGGGGGAGAAAATTTGGAACTCAAAATTCATAAAAAAAGTGTTAAAACTGTCTTTACATGTTAATTGGAAAAAAGTAAAATACTATTTTAAAAAATTAAAGTGTTTAGATCAAAAAAAAATCTTTGCTGATTTTTTCATTTGTGGTCCTTCCATTTTCATCCTTAAATGTTATAGTCATGACTTTGCTTGGTGGGGACTTACGGTAGTGGTAACATATACTGTTCCTGTCACATAAATTAAGCTAGTTCTTCCATAAAAAATATAGCAAAACCGTTGAGACATTGACATAGCTTACTGGTGGCCCAAGTATTAAAACAAGCCCAGGCAGAAGCTTTTCCTTCAGGGTCCATTTCCACACTGGCATGGCCAACATAATGGCAGGAAAGTTGTGATCAATTAAATCAATACAATAGCCTTGCTGAATAATCTTTCATTGCTGTGGTTTCATAACCTATTTTTCTTAACTGCTGAATGGTTTCTGAGTGTCTCACTTTATTCCAATTCTGAAACTGAAATATAGGAATGGCCTGAATCAAGGTGGGACTGTAACATTTTAAACATAGTTAGAAGGACTGAATCAAAATAACCTTTTTTAAGTGTTAGATAAAGGCTATTAGGAGGAAGCTGAGTCCCTGATCCCTGGAGAAGGTCCTGATAAGGAAGCCAGGAAACCTAAGGCCTCATCAGTTCTGGCAGTAAACCATGAGGTTATCTGTGAGTGACCGGGGAGGATTAGAAAATAAACTCTGTGGGCATTTAACAAGCACAGATACATGTGAACGTTCTTTGGGCATTTAAGAAACATGCCCTGAAAAATGTTATAGTAGTAATAAGGGATTTCAATAATCTAAACATCTGCTGGAGCTCTCTGTCTCTCTGCCTATCTTTCCTGACCTCTAACCTTAACCTAAAAGCAGAGCAGCTAATAACTTCTTTATTTGCCTTAGTAATAGTTTCATATTTCAAAAGGTGGAGGAAACAGAAATTCTATTGAAGATCTTATTCTCACCAACAGGAGAAGAACTGGGGAGAAAATTATGGGAACTTTAGGAATATGTGACCATTCCATCCAAGAATTTATAGTACAAAATGAGAGGGTAACTAGTTTGGTTTCTTTGCACCCTAGATTTTGGGAAAGCAGACTTCAATGGCTTCAGAGGAAAGATAGGTAGGATATCATGGACTAAAAAAATCAGCTCAGGAGGGATAGGGTATGTTCAAGAATGAAATACTAAAGACACAAAGGGAAACAATTCCAATGAAGAAGAAAAATGAGATTTTTCTGAAGAGGCTGGTGTGGATACACAGGGAACTCACCAATCAACTTAGAGTTCAATCATTTTCAATCATGTCTGACTCTGTGGAACTCCATTTCGGGTTTTCTTGGCGAAGATAATGGAGTGGTTTGCCATTTCCTTTGCCAGATGAGGAAACTGAGGCAAACAGGCTTAAGTGACTTGCCCAGGGTCACATAGCTAGTAAGTATCTAACGCCAGATATGAACTCATGAAGATGAGTCTTCCTGACTCCAGGCCCAACACTCTATCCACTGTACCACCTAGCTGCCCTTAATTACCTTCTTTGATTATTTTCTTTAAAATATCAAGATATTTAGCTGCCATATCCTCATCTGCAATGGCCCCCTCTCTAATAATTTTAACATTATACAACTGAACTCAATTTTTAAAGCAACTGAACCAAAGCTTACAGTAAATTTCTTCACTGTTCACTTCATTTCTATTTTCTTTCACTGTCTCAAATAATAAAAACTTGAAGCTTTTGTCTGAAGAGCAAGTTGGCTAAGAGAAATATGTTTTTGATCGTAATCTTCAAACTATACAGTTAAAAGGTGCTCCATTTCTCTCATCATGCTATTTTTGTTTCCTGTAGTTATTTGCAAACATTTTACAAAAAGTTTTTCATTTTGCTGTGTTTTATATAATATTCTGTAACACAGATTAAAGTGCTCCAACATCTTGTCCTATTTTAGATTTACTATTATCACATTTGTGACATTCATTACATCAAATTTTTTTCTAATGTATTAACAAGCCTCTTCCTTTTAACCATCACAGAATACATAAGTCTATAAGCAGGAACCCTGTGAGACCACTGTAGATCCTCCCAGCTCCTGCCACTGTGGAACCTACCCCCTTTTCCCAGTGCCAGATACCAAATTGGCTGGCATCCAGCAAAAGGAGAGGGACCCTCTTGATAAATGGATGATGGACCTCAACAACCAAGATAGCATCTACACAAACACATCTAGATAAACAACCCCCTTATAGCAGGCAAACGTGTCTGCTGCTAAGACAGGACGATTAGGGAAAACTCAGCTCCCCTATTAGAATGAGTAAAGTGTTCATTATTATCATTTACCTACAAGAGATTTCCCTCCCAGACCCTTCCTCCCAATTGACTACTCATATTGAGGCAAAAAGAGCAGTGAGGCAATTGATAGTAGCCCCTTGATTATGTGACAATGAGCGCAATGCCAACATGCCAGATGATATGCACTTGACCTACTGTGGCCCTCCTGTGGAAAGCGGGTAACTTATAAGGAATGTTATATGTAACTTACCTTTTCCAGATCTGAGAGGGTAACTTAACCCTGGCCCCAAATAGGTTTTGTCTTTTGGCTGGGTGGGGGGAGGCAGAAACAAGGACAGACTCAGTCATAGAGAAAGGTAAAACTATTTATGCTACTGCCCATTGGGTAGATGGGCCATATCGCCAACAGAAGGGCTTTTAGGCAGAGGGTCCATCCTGGTGGACCATGTTCCTCTGGCTTTTAGACCTTGGAGATAAGAGGGAAGAGACAGGGAGAATTCCCAGCTTCACTATATAGAGAAAATACTGGTATGCAGAAAAGTCCCCAAGAGGAAACCTCAATAGGATCTTGTTAAGAGAATCATAAGAGCAATTACATAGGCAGGTGATCAGAATGAGGATCTGTGAGAGATAGAGAAGGGAGGCCTTTCACTTAGGCAGTCATCACTTCATCTGGCGGCCAGATGTCTGACAACGCCTGTCTCTACTTTGACCTAACTCTATTTCAAGGATACCAAGGTGGACTAGGAGTGTCACCCAGCTGTTGGGCCTCACTTAGCACTGTCACTATAATGGGTTCTCATGAGGGACACTGGCACCCAAGTGACTATAATCCTGGGAAGCCCCAACAGCCAGGATGCCTCATTCTTTTTAATGATTTTGTTCAGACATGGATCCTTAACCTGGACACCCAACTGATGGTCACTATCAGTGTGGGACTATACGGGTTCTTGTGGTAGACTGTGAACCCCTTCTGCAATGAGGAATATATATATAGGAACTGACCTCCTGCATTATTTACTAATAACTGCAAAGCATTGGAAATAGCTCCTCACCAAACAGCTACTGACTGATGTTCATTATAGTTGGTAATGTCTTCAGCTATGCCCTGTCTTATCTTTTGACTCCTCATCAAGTAGTGCAAGCGAAACAATATCAGATACCTGGAGATGAGAGCAAGATTACTCACCCTCATCCAGGACCTCCTGAATGCAGGGCTGCTGTAGCTGATCACCTGCCTGTTAAATCGTCCTGTCTGGCCAGTACACAAAGCCAATGGTATCTGGAGCTTGGCAACTGACTTGGGCCTTCAACAAAGAGGTCCCACCTATTGTTTCAGTGGTCCTAAAAATAGTTACCACCATGGACCACTTGACCCCTACTTCCAGACACTGGTATGTTGCTGTTCATCTAGCTTGATGAGCCTTGGCATATACTTGGCAAGGTATGCAGTACACCTTTGCTGTCCTTCCTTATGGCTACCTAATATTCCCACAATCTGCCTCCAATGGATGGGTTGTACACTGGCCTCTTTGATTGTGGCCCTGGAATGGCCATCTTCCATTACACTGATAACATCCTGATTAGGCTGAGTAAGTACACTGTCTAAGGTTCTGAAAGCCTTGTTTACTGCTCATCGATGATGGCTGGGCTACCAACATTGATAAAATCCAACGGCCCACTCAACAAGTCAAGTTCCTGGGTGTTCAGTGGGCTGGGGACCAGTGGGAAAACCCCACCAAAAAGAAAGAGACCCCTTGCACTGAAACCAAATCCCACTAAGAAGGATGTCCAACATATCATCAGGCTTTTGGCTTCTGGAGACAAAACATACCCCATCTGGGCATCATCATGAGGCGATCCATGTAATTTGAGCAGGGTCCCAGGCAACAAGGGCAGGATCATCATCAATTTTCCAGCACTTAGTAGAGCACCTGGCACATAGTAGGCACTTAATAAATGTCTACTGACTAACTCATCTGTAAAATGAGGGGGTTGGCTTAAATCGAGGATTCTTAACCTTTTACAAGCCATGGGCCCCTTTGGCATCATGGTGAAAGGCTATGGGCCCCTTCTCAGAATAATGTTTTTAAATGCTTAAAATAAAATACAAAAGATTACAAAGGAAACCAACGATCTTGAAATGCAATCATTTGACAATTCTTAAATTTTTATTTTTCGTTTCATATATAACTTGCTAATTATATTTGATACTAAAATAGAAGTAGTAAAATATTTTTAAATCCACTCACTATAAACCGGACATTGGCTGCTGGTGGGTTAAGATGTGACCGAAGCATATTGTGCGTATCCACACACTCCTGGATAAATTCGCCATCATCGATGTCTGGGAAGTCCGCCTGTGATGCTTGGACCCTGAGGATAAGGAGCAAGAAAAAGCTCCGCCACTGCCTCATGGCTTCCGTGGTTTCACCCTGCCTCAGGTACCTGGCACGCACTGCAAGTCTGCGCCTGCCCAGAGCTCCCGAGGCTTTGATTGGAGAATTCTCTCCCGCTTGCCCCGCTCTGTCCTGCCCCTTCCCCAGAGCTCCCGAGGCTTTGATTGGAGAATTCTCTCCTGCCTGTCCTCCTCTGTCCCGCCCCTTCCAAGAGTTCCCAGGGCTTTGATTGGAGGGCACCTCACCTACAAGGACAGCTCCCTTAGTTTTGATTGGAAGGATCCCTCGCTGCAATTGCACTCCCCGCCCTCAGGCTTTTCGAGGCCACGAGGTGTCAGAACTCCCAGACTCTTATTTGTCAGGATACTTTCGACCAGCCTCCTCTCCCCCCACTCTACCTTGCACCTGCCCAGAGCTCCCCATGCTTTGAATGGCAGGAATTTTACCTACATGACCCTACTTAACTGAAGAAGGAGATTACAGACTTCTTGAAGGAGACACTCTAGCTCAAGGATTCTTAACCTGGGATCCATAACCTTTTTTTTTTTTTTAAATAATTGTATTTCAAGATAATTAGGCTCCATTATAATTGTATGGGATTTCATTTTGTGCATTTAAAACATTATTCTGAAAAGAGGTCCACAGGTTTCACCAGATTGACAGTGGGGTCCATGACACATATATAAAATGTTAGGAATCCTTATCTATAATTCACAACCCCACATTCAATCCTTTAGAACCCACGGTCTTTCCAATTTGGATCCTTACAATCTAAAGTTCCAAACTCTTTGTAGAATTACTTTATTTTTTATTTTTATTTATTTATTGGTTTTTATGTGTTACCTCAGTCCCAAAACCCATTAGTAAGTTTTTTTTTTCCCCTTTTTGATAGAGACTGGCCCGTGTGAAGGGCAGGAGAAAGCAGAGCTCTTTAGTTCTCATTAAGTTTTAAATCTCTTCAGAATTTTTCAAGACAATTTGGGTGCTTCTAACTTTCAACTTTCAGAGAGAAAATGTTAAAAGCCAATCCCACTTCAGATTGCTGAAGGAAAAGACTCTAGAAAGACATGGGAAGAGTTGCCATTTTCCATTACGTCCCTTGTCTTCAGCTTGCTACACTAGAGACTTTAGGGAATTAACTCTTAGATGAGATTTACGATTCTCTTGTGAACCATATCTAGACAGACCCATGTGGAACCACATAATCTATATGGGTAATTTTTCCCAGTATCTTTTGCCCTCATAGAATCATCACATATAATAAATAATATATTATCAAAGAAAAAAAAAGAAATAGAAAAACCAGCAAAACCAATCAATATATCAAAAAAGTCTGAAAATATATATAATATTCCATACACATCGGCCTCTTATCTCTGCAAAGAAGTGATAAGAGGATCTCTTTACATCTCTTTACAACAATATGCAGTTGTTCTTTCCATTTTCATTGTTGCGATCATTGTGTGTATTGCTTCTCCATGTTCATCATATTCAGAGTGTTGTGAGTAAAAGTTAACAAAAGGGTAAACTGGGGCAATTTCTCTGAGCAAGATAACATTTTATTATCAGGGCTGGTAATCTGAGAAGAGGAGTCAATGGCTGCCTCAGTTTCCATCCAAAAACCCAGAGCAAAAGGATAGCTCCCCTTTTTATAGATCTGGGGGAGTACAGAAGAAAAAACAGAATGGGGCAGGTGACAACATGAGGTTGAAGGAAACATGATTGGTTACATAGCTGAGGCATGGGGAACAATATGATAGGTTGGAAGTTGGGAATAAGAGGAGAGCAACAACTCTCACCTCTCCCTCCTGTGACTAAGAAGTGTTCATTGTTTGAGTCCACCCATAAGGTCAAAAATAAGACCCTAGACTTCTTTGGATAGAAAATAAGACGTCCTTGAAGGATAGCATGGTTATGTAAAGATAGTAGGCCTGACTCCATTATGGCAAGCCACATCCTTCAAGGATGTGGAAAAGTATACAGGGTATACAGGCAATAGAATATACAAGAGGAGTGGACTCTGTAACTTAAGAGTGAAACTTCAGTTTGACCAAGGAAAGAATGCAGCAGAGAAGGGAATTATAGAGGATCCGAGAGACTAGCATATTGCCTCTAGGTTAAACAACAAAAACAAAAACAAAAACCAAGCTAAATTTTGTAACACAGAATGGCTAATTTAATGCCCCCCCCCCACCTCTCCTCTCCTTCTCCCAGAGACAAAGAGAATATAGGGGATGGGACAGTGAAATGTATTGGCTGAGCCAACTGCACCTTTTTAGTGACACTCACATAATCACCAGTATTAAAGCCATTTGAAAGAAAATGTAAGCTATACATAATAGATTCACAGTTTCATATGTACTTCTCTTTTTTTCTGTTTAATTCTCTGTATGAAAATGCTAATATTATTTGATCTTTCTTAAGTTCAGAATAAAAAAATTTAAAAGAAAATGAATTCTTTTATTTCTGTTTTTCTTCATTTGAAATACTTTCTTGAAGATAAAAATAATGATTAATATACAATAAAATTGTAGTATAGGGTTTTTTTTAATCTTCCTCCTGCCATCACGATACACAACTTAGAGTCAGTCTTAGAGAGTTACTTGGGGGCATTAAGATTTTATAAGGTTTGTCCAAGATTATATAACAGAGTCAGAGGCCAGATTTGAAATTGGGTCTTTCTGATTCCAAGGCAGGCTCCTTATCAATTATATATCATATGGCTTGACAGTTTAATATTAGCTAGAGATAAGGACTGGACCTATGATTTCATTAGTATATGGAATTCCTAAATGAGGAAATTCCCTCTGCCAATGCAGATAGGCACTTTCTCCGAAACTTGCAGTCTTAGAGAATTGCCCTTACAGTCTTAGTAATTTAATGGCTCATGCTAAAAATTCTTTAGTGGCTCCTTAAACAGTAAATAATTGCTGAACATTATCAGTGGCATATTAAATTGCAATTCACAACATGTTTCTGTTGTTGTTGTGTTTGTTGAAAGAGGTTCACAGAACAACAGCAACGAAATAAATTGGTAACCACTGACCTAAGGCACTGAGATGTTTAGGGTCCCACCCAGGGTCCCATGGCCAGTATGTCTCATGTGGAGCTTGAATTTAGCTCTCCCTGGCTCCCAGGCCTGCTTTCCATCCACTATTCCATGTTGTTGTTTCTGTTGTTGATGGGTATGATGGAAACTGCCAACTCCTCTGTCTTTTCAGAGATTTTTTCTTCAGCAACCTGAAGTAGGGTCTGCTTCTTCCATTTTCTCTCTTGAAGCTGAGAGTCAGAAACACCCAAATTGACTTGAAAATAAAAACAAAAACAAAATAACATACTATTTTAATCAATCAATATGCATTTAGATAAACTCTTTCCAAGGAGACAAGATGTATGTACAAAATAAATGCCAGGTAAGTTGAAGGGGATGGTACTAGCATCTGAGTGTTATCAGTAGTTGAAGTAGTTGAACAAAGATGTCATGCCAACTGATGAGGCCATTCCTAATCTTATTAATGTAATGTACCAGGTAATCTAAGCCACTGGAGAGTTGTATGCAGTTATGAACTTAATGTCTTTTTCTTTATTTATATGGTTGAGACTAGTCAGGAACAATTGGCTTTCAGATGGGAAGGAGTCCAATACTCCCTCCCTGTCTTTCCCTAGAATTACCTGAACTCTACTTCATATTTTCACAGTCTGGTTGGCAGATATTTGAAAAAGGCCCTTCTTCCTGATAGCATTCCTATCTACCACCACATTTGTGATATAACAGTGACAAGACCCAAGTTGGATGGTATCTCATATGAAGGACAATCCTAGGTAGGTCATCCCTAAGAAAATACAAGATATAGCCCACTGCCGAATTTTGAGGAATGGAGTAGATGAGAACCCAAATCCTCCCAGACACAGTCCAGAAAAATCTGAATTTTCTTCCTTTCTCAAGAAGCCCAGAGATATTTAGACTTTTAATGTTTGGAGAACTCACATTCTCTATTTGGCTATTTTGATGGCTCCCATTTATCAAGTCCCTTTCATGACTGCCTCTTTTGGATGGGATGAATGAACTACAATCCTTTAAGATCTAAAGCAGACTATCCTGCAGATTCCTCCCTGGGCCCTTATGATTATTTGGAGGTCTCTGTCCATAAATACCAAGTTGAGTGGAGACTAAGAACCTAGAAACAAAATGACTATTAGATTTCTTAAGCCAAAAGTTCCCCATAGTGGGTCCTTGGGATACCACTTTAAAAAAAAATAGTAATACTTTATGAATAATGAGTATGGTAACTTAATTACTTGGCCTAAGTATTACCATCAGAAACTGTGTATTTAATTGGAAATTTTGTCTAACCACATGAAGAGAAAGAAAAGGAGGAGGAGGAGTGAACATGACACTCACTAAAGTGGACAGTTATACTCCCTTTCTTTCACATGAATGGGCAGAATCAATATTTTCTGCCCTTTTTGGAAAGGAGAATACACCATTCTGAGCTGTCTGGGAACCAGACACGGACAAGCCTATGAGTTTGCCTGAAGTGATACTGTGGCAGGTTAGGCTTGGAGGAAGGATTTGGAGTGGGTGTATCTAATGGTATTTCATGAAGTTTCTACCTTTTGTGGTGGCTGTCTTCTTACCTTGTGAATTTAGCTTTAATTACCATAGGTTTTCCTATGTTTCTGGAAGTTTTTAGGTTGGAAAGATATGGGGAACAATGACTACTCCCAATTATCTTGCTGATCATAGAACCTACAAATAGCAAGTGAATTCTAACATTTAGAAATGAAGACCTTTTTCATTATGTTTTGTGAGCATTTTATTATGTACAATAATTTTATTTGTGGGTTGCAGAACACAATTACATAAATGTTTGCATTGTTAGAGACTACAGATTACTACAAATTTTATGAACAATGAATATGGTAACTTAATTACATAGCCCAAGTACTACCATCGGAACCTGTACATTTAATTGAAAATTCTGTAATTATTCATGTTTTTAAGTTTTAAGAAAATCTTAACAGTAAATCCTAAGAAAAGATCAACTCTAATATAATATTTTAAGAAAGCCAGTGAAAATCAGGTTATTTTAAATTGTTATGTATAAATATATATGTAATATATATATACACACATACACATATACATACATATATATATATACATATATAGTATTATATATTGTGTACTTGTCATATTCCATGGACCAGTTAAGTTATTAATCTCCCTCTTCTCTCTCTTTACACACACACACACACATCTTTCTCTACAATATAATTTTTCAAATAACCTGACAACCTTTTAAATATAATTAATTAATTGGAGGAATTGAAGACGTCTGTCCTAAAATAATGTATTAATTGCACATTTAATTTTAAGCAAAAGTTTATTAAGATAGCATGAAAATAAATCAAATGGCAAATAGAAATTAGAGAAGTAGAAAAGTAATTTGAATTCCAACTATTGCTCTCATATGTGACTTTGTTTTTATCTTGTCTAACCATGTTTGGTAGCCATTGTTAACTCAAATATTAATAATGAAAGGGCTTATGTTATTAAAACCTGATGAAGGCAATGACTGCATCTACAATATACCAAAACACCAGAACCAAAAGTTAAAAAATTAAAGAACCTGGACATATTTGCTTATATTGCATCAATTATTCAGATAAATGGAAATATCCAGATACTCAGAAACACAAACATTGCAGATTGGCATTTTTAACTTTAATACTAATGTTTTCATTGGGCAGAAATAACCAATAACCCAGAGGCAATATAGGCATTTGCTAGCTGAGAGACACTGGTATTTCAGCTGAAATATACAATGTCAGGGAAGCTACCTCCCCACCCCCTTTCAGGAATATATTTCTCACATTATTATGGAAGTTAGTGGAAAAATACTATTTGTTTCACAACAATTCATTTTACAATTTTTTTTTACAATATTGGTTAACAATGACAAAAATTAAGTCAATTTGGTACCTAAACAATGGAATTTTAAAAACTGAATGAACTAAAAACTAATTATTTTGTTACCATGTAGGAAAATGCTCAAATAATTCTGGTCTTTGTTAGCGATAAAAGCATTGTTCATCTCAGAGCAGAGGCTCATTTATTACTCACATTTTTCTTTTAGGTTTAAAAAGATAAAAAAAAATTATACTGTTAACTTAGAATAAATCAGTTCTTGTTGGCTTGTCCTAAAATATGATTTTGAGTTTCAAAAACTATGAATATACTTAGTAAGTGTTTATAGTTAGCTTGGAGACTTCCCCTTCGACGATTTAAATCAGAATGTCACATTTCATTTTCAAATTCCTTTCCATTGTTAATTGCTATACAACTCTCTTAACATTTAAAATTTTAATATTATTTCTTAAAAACATATTTATATAAATATGTTGGGCAACCCCTATGTCACATATCTAACTGAAAATGCTCATATATTCTTTATTGTAAATCATGGTGGTGATATTCTCAAAGGTAAGTTTTGGAGCCAAAGCAAAATACATCAATTCATTTGTTTTATAGTTTACAGCAACTTTACCTTTAACACAATGGCACTCATTCTATTGGGAAAGAATAATATGAGAATCTTCTCATGTTTATGTAGCTATAATGCCAAGTTCACATAAATTACTTTATCAACCTTACTACCTGATTTCACTAGTCCATTCTTTTAGTAGAGATCTACAGGATCTCCTCTGACTTCCTATTTAATTCAAATAGAAGAGACATTTAGGGCATGGAGATTTGGAAGAAAATTGGATTGATGGTAGCTCAGCCTTAGTTATAAACTAAGCCATTAATTGCATGTTCGGAAATTTCTTTTGTAGTATATAAACACCTGTAATTGCAAATACAATTCCTACCAATCTAAACGACACACAGATTTGACAGAATTGATTACATGTAATTCGACGAGGAATTTCCCAACTTGGATTCCAATATGGGTAATCTGTTACAACAACAACAGCACAGAATAGTTAGAATAATGTCACACTAAACAAATCACTTAATTAAAAATTAAATATTTTAATGTATACGTACTTAAGCTTTTATCACGTATTGGATTTCCTAGAAAGAAAAAAAATACAAATGAAAAGGTCTTTAGGATTTATTTCCTCCATTAACTTTGGAAACTAATTTTAGTTATTTTTTAAACACATATTAGGAAGATTTAGAGATGAGCAAATACAGCATTTAAAAGTTTATGCTTTCAAATTACTGACAGCAGCTGTGAATCAGAAAACATTTGTAAGAAAATTTTTTATGTACAAAGCACATGTCAGTCCTAGCTAAAATTTTTGTGAAGTAAGAAAGATTTCTTATCAGGATCTCTCAATCCCCTCCTTTTTTTTTTTTTTTAAATCATCATAGCACTAAGGCCCTGCCATCTTTTAGGGCCCCTTAGCTGCCCCAAGACCCCAGTGAGTGCCCCATTAATCCAAATTCCCAGAATCTCTCTACCTCCTTACCCCTTCAAAAGATTTCTGTATTCCAGCCAATTTAGCAGAGACATCCTCCTCACTAACCAAGTGACAGAATGTGGGTATGATTACATGTCTGAATAATCATATTTAATTTTATATATAATTTGCAAGTCAGCAAAAATTGTATCTGCAGTAGCTATTCCTTGTTGTCTCTCGAAAATTGTGAAGGAAGATAGGCCCAATACAAAAGTCTTTGACATAGTGTTATTTGAAAGGTGAAAAAATTTGTCTGACTGATTAAAAAAAAAAAGTATTTCCTCCCGAAGTCTGTCATGATGCCTAAAATTCCTTCCAGTGGAAGTTAGGTAGTGCAGTAGATACAACACTGGGCTTGGAGTTAAGAAGACCTGAGTTTAAATCCAGCTTCACTTCAGATGCTTACTAAACAGTATGACCCCAGGGCAAGTCATTTAACCTTTATCTGCTTAACAGTGACTACCTCCCAGGGTTGTTGTGAGGATTGCATGAAATAATACTTCATATTACCTAGAATATAATAGGCTTTATATAAATGTTTTTTCTCCTCCCTTCTCCTTCTCCTCTATTAACTTCACAATAATAACAGCGACATTGACATTTACATAGCACTTTAACGTTATTATTATACAAAATATTTTATATACATGATCACATTTAGCCCTCATAATAACTCTGTGAGGCAAACATGGTTACTTCTATTTTGAAGATGAAGAAATACTTATGATTTGCTCATGTTCACAAAGCTGGTAAGTGTTGAAAGTGGCATTGGAATTCAAGTCTCTCCTGATTCCAAGTACAGCAGTGTTTTCAGATAAATACATTAGCGTTAAGGAATTATGCTAGGGATGCGGTGGGGAGAGAACATGTTATTATTAAGTAAACTCAAAGTAGCTTTATGTTTTTGTTCATTCAACAAAGATGTATTGAATGACTACTATAGCTACAGTAGATTGAGTTTTGGAAGATACCAATATTATCATTTCTATCCTTGGAGAGATTTAATTTCCTTTTTATAGTAGCATTTACTATATTAGGACAGATCTGGCAAGCTAGCAAGCCCCCAGAGGAAGGGACAAAGGTATTGAAGGGCCTTGAGATCATGCCATATGGGGAAATGAAAATCTTTGGCCCGGTTAAGAGAGCACTTAGGTTAGATAAGGTAATGATCTTAAAGTGCTTGAAAGGCAGTCTTGTAGAACAGCATTTAGACCTGTTCTTCTTACTCCTAGGAATAATGAACGGAAGTTGCAGAGGCAAAATTTGGCTCAATATAAGAAAATAAACTTCCTAACAATTAGAACCAAAAGTGGAATGAACTGCCCTCAGAGGGAGTGAGTTCCCTGTCAAACAGAGGCTGGACGCCTACTTGTGAAGCATATTGCAGAGCATATTCTTGTTTGGGTATGGGTTGGTGGTACAGTGAATAGAGTACTGGGCTTGAAGTCAAGAAATCAAGAAGTTCAGATTTGGCCTTAGACACTTAGTGGGCTGAGCTTTGTGACTGAGCAAATCACTTAACCTCTATTTTCTCATCTGTAAAATGAGGATACTAACAACATCTACCTCCCAGGATTGCTGTGAGGGTAAAATGAAATAAATCTTTATAAAGTGCTTTGCAAACCTTAAAGGTATGCAAATGCTTACTATTATTATTATTATCCCTTCTAACATTCTCTGACTCAGTGAAAAGCAAAAACTTCGTGGAAATTCTCCTATCCTATTTAATTCTTCTTGCGATTTGTTGTTGTTTATGTTGCTTACTGCATTGATTATTTTCACAAGTATCTCCTTCCTCACAATAAGTGCATGATACTCCTTTTGCATAAGGTCTCGTTCCAACCAAGTTTCCTCTATAAAAATAATAATATTCATTAGTTAGATAGATATCAATAACTATCATTTCAGTTGTTTATTTTTAAATTCTATGAGTATGTTATGATTAAATGAATTAAGAAAATATGCTGATGTCTGAAAGTTCTGAATAATATAATTCACTTCAGTAAACATTAATTGCCTACTGCAGGGTTAGGATACATTCTAGACCAGGTTCTGCTGTCCACTAACTTTTTTCTTCAAATATTTTGAAATCCGTATTTCAATAAAATTAGTTTAATTTTTAAACCTATATATTTTAATTTTTTGGCATATAAAAACATTATTCTTCAAGGGCTGTACCAAACTTCAAAAGACCACAAAAAAGGTTAAAAGTTCTAGGCTCAGACCCATTAAAACAAACAAATAAACAAACAAACCCTAATGAATTAGTCTTTAGAAAAGGGCATTTCATTTTTGAATTTAAAGAATTCTTTGAAGACAAGTATATTTTCATTTTCACTTAATATAAGTAGAAAACAGTTACCTTTTAGATGCAAGAAACTAGTAAACACACACAAAAAAATCATAGTAAAGAGAAATGAAGATAACTTATTTTTAATTAATGCCCTTACTAAGAAAGGATAGTAAATAGCTTACAAATGAATTCACCTCAAATTCTCAGGATTGTGTTGACCATTTTGCTGCCACTGTTTTCTTTCAACAGTGAACCTAGATATAGTTTTCAAACTTATCAATCAATGGGAATGGAACACCTCGGTGGGAGCACTTTTGGTGGCACAGTGCTAGGTACATCATATGTGCTTAATAAAATGTTGATTGTTTGGCTAATCGAAGGACCTCTAAAGCAACTACTTCACTATTTCCTGTTAATTACCCCAAAACCAAACTTTCTGGACTATTTGTTATAGGGAAGCAAAGATGGTAAGAAATGACACTGTGCATTGTTTTGTGCATTTGTGCAAATGACATTTGTGCATTGTTTATTCAAGTAGATACGTCAAACATTACCTTCAAATTTACTTTTATGATAATTTAAGACATGTTTCCCTTCTCCCTAACATTCCTCAGAATTCATTTTAAAACTAATGAAAGTTATTAATGAGAAGTGCAAAACAACTCTTAATTTCCACTTCATGCTCATCAGACTGGTAAAAATGACAAGAAAAAAGAAGAAAAAGGACAATGGTTGAAGGTACAGTGGAAGGGCAAACACTTTGTGCCCTGTTTGGGAAGCTGCGAAATGGAAAACATTCTGGAAAACAATTTAGAATAGTACCCCAACAGTCAATAAACTGTGCCTACCCTTTCACCCAACAACAGCACTATTAGACATATACCCCAGAGAGATTAAAGATGAAGGAAAAGGACCAATACGTTCAAAAATATTTACAGCAACACTTTTGTTGTAGCAAAGAATTGGACATAAATGAGGTTCCCATCAATTGGATGATAGATGAACAAATTATGGCATATGGATATATTAGAATATTGCTGTGCTTTAAGAAAGTATGGAAGGGATGGATTCAGAGAAACCTGGGAAGACTTGTATGAGCAAATGCATAGTGAAGAGAGCAGAACCAGGAGAACAATTTATAAAATGACTTCAAGATTGTAAAGGAAAACAGCAGTGAAAGACTTAGAACTCTAATCATTGCAATAGTTTACCATGAATTTAGAACAGTGGTGTCAAATTCAAATAGAAATAGGGTCACTAAACTGTGCATAAGGATCCCTGCTGGCCACATACTAACTTACAAACCACGTTAACATTATTTATTTTATTCTATTTTTACTTATTTTGTCAAATAACTCCCAAATACATTTTAATCTGGTTCAGGCAGTATTAGGGAGTGTTGTGGGCCATGGTTGTTCTGTTTCAGAAGACTGATGATGAAGCATGCTTTCCACTTCTTACCAGAGGAGTGACAGATTATTGTTGCGAAACAAGACATACATTCCTAAACAGTGTGTGAATTTGTTTTGCTTGACTATACTTATTACAAAAAATAGCATGCATTTTGCAGAGGGGACAGTTGTAAAGGATAGTTTTAAGATAGTGATATAGGTATGAAGAAAAAAGAAAGAAAGAAAGGGAGGGAGGGAAGAAGGAAGAAAAAAACCAAAAAAATGAAAGAGAAGAGAGCAAGAAAGAGAGGAGGAGAGAAGAGGAAGAAAGAAGTGCCAATGGATCATTTAAAAATGCAGACAAGAGCAGAGTTTCTAGGAAACACAAATGGGGAATTATTAGTATTGTTGTGTTAAATTTCACATATATTTTTAAAAGAAAAAATCTATACATAATATAAATGATTTCCAATATAATCCTTTCTTGTTTTTATATATGGAAATGTTCATGTTTGTTGATGATTGTCAGGTTCACAATAAAAAAAAAGAATTTGGAAAGAGTAGTAAATGGACGTGACAAAATACTTTACAATTGTATGTTCAATTGAGAAATTGCTTTCCTAATTGAAAACAATGTTCAATAAGACAAATACTACACTGAATATACATTGTTCACCCATTAATTCCATAATATATCAATCAGGACCTAGTTTTCTTTGGTTTCATGATCATTGCTGCATAAAGTGGGAAACAGAGACTAGAGAAGTAGTCAGAGGTGAGAATCCATGTCATTGGTTGTGACACAATTGTCCAAATCAGTGGCTGTTTGGCTTTGTTCCCTCAGCTTGGGATTTAGATATGCTGTATTAGAAAATGTGATAACTACCTTTGACTTGTGGAAAGAAAGCACTTGTCATGCCAGCCATAGTATGACCTGCCTTCCTGTCTCTGACTGTCCAAATTTTTATCCATTCTGCCTTCTCATCTGATCCCTCCATAGCTCTTCCTCAATGATATCCATGATTACTCAAAATACTGTCCTAAAATTCTACATGAGGGGAATGGATTTTGGAAATTATAGCAGGAATTATTAATAACATAGGTTTGATTGTTGTTTTTCAGTCATTTTCATTCGTGTCTGACTCTTCATGACCCCATTTGGGTTTTTTTTGGCAAAGATATTGGAATGATTTGCCATATGCTTCTCCAGCTCATTTTACAGATGAGGAAAATGAAGCAAAATAGGATTAAGTGACTTGCCCAGAGTCACACAACTAATAAATATCTGAGACCAAATTTGAACTCAGATCTTCCTGATTCCAGGCCTGGGTACTCTACACACTATGCCACCTAGCTGCCCATAGGTTTGAATACACTGTCAATTTGTATCACTTTTAGACAGGCTTTAGCACATGAAGAGAAGTCAAAGTAAAAGTCATGTTTGAGCTGAAATAAATTGCTTCATGGATTAAGATAAAGTTTAGGTATTATGTGTACTATTTCTTTGTAACCACTGACTGGTAACTTTTTGAAAGTGCAAGTGTTGGCAGTATATATCACAAATGTGAAGATAAATTTCTTTTTATGAAGGAAACAATGCTGATCTCTATCAGAAAAGCCTATATATGAAAAGTAATTGGAAAGGAAGAAGGCCTGGACTTATGATTTCATTGCAATAGGGAAATCCCAGGTGAGAAGACTCCCTCTACCAATGCAGGCTGGCACCTTCTCTGTAGCTCTGAGCCTTAGACAGTATGGAGAAGTAACTTGCCAAGAGTCACACAGATAGTATGTATCAGAAAGAGTATTTAAATCACCTCCTGAAAGAGATCCCCAAAGGAAAACTCCTAGGAATATTGTAGCCAAATTCCAGAGTTCCCAGGTCAAGGAGAAAATATTGCAAGCATCCAGAAAGAAACAATTCAAGTATTGTGGAAACACAATCAGCATAACACAAGATTTAGCAGCTTCTACATTAAGGGACCAGAGGGCTTAGAATATAATATTCTTGAAGTCATAGGAGATAGGATTACAACCAAGAATCACCTATCCTGCAAAACTAAGTATAATCCTTCAGGGGAAAAAAATGGACATTTAGTGAAATAGAGGACTTTCAAGCATTCTTGATGAAAAGACCAGAGGTGAATAGAAAATTTAACTTTTAAATACAAGACTCACGAGAAGCATGAAAAGGTAAAGGAAACAGAAATCAAAAGGGACTTATTAAAGTTGAACTGTTTACATTCCTACATGGAATATTTGTTTCTCATGGGACCTTTCTCAGTATTAGGGTAGTTGGAGGGGAAAAATTATATATGTAGATAGATAGATAGATAGATAGATAGATAGATAGATAGATAAATAGATAGATAGATAGATAGGTAGGTAGGTAGGTAGATAGATAGAGGGCACAGGGTGAGTTGAAGATGAAGGGGTGGTATCCAAAAAACAAAATTAAGGAGTGAGAGGATTATACTGGGAGAAAGACAAAGGGAGAGATAGAATGAGGTAAATTATCTCACATAAAACAGACAAGAAAAAGCTTTTACAGTGGAGAGGAAGAGGGGGAGGGTGAGAGGGAATGAGTGAATTCTTATTCTCATCAGATTTGGCTTAAGGAAGAAATAACATACACAATTGGGTATGGAAATCTATCTTACCCTACAGGAAAATAGGGGGGAAGGGGATAAGAAAAGGGGGTGATGATAGAAGGGAGGGCAGATTGGGAGAGGGGGTAATCAGAAGGAATCACTTATGAGGAGGGACAGGGTCAAAAGAAAGAATTGAATAAATGGGGGGCAGGATAGGAAGAAGGGAAATGTAGTTAGTTTTTCACAACATGACTACTATGGAAATGTTTAGCATGACTACACAAGTATAACCTGTATCGAGTTGCTTGCCTTTTCAATGAGGGTGGATGGGAAGGGAGGAAGGGAGAAAATTTGGAACTCAAAGTTTTAAAAACAAATGTTAAAAATTGTTTTCACATGTAACTTGGAAATAAGATATACAGGCAATGGGGTACAGAAATCTATCCTGCCCTACAGGAAAATAGAAGGGGAAGGGGATAAGAGAAGGGGGGGTGATGGAAGGGAGGGCAGATTAGGGGAAAGGATACTCAGAATGCATGCAGTCTTGGGGTGGAGGGAGGGGTGAAATGGGGAGAAAATTTGGAACTCATAATCTTGTGGAAGTGAATGTTGAAAACTAAAAATTAACAAAAACTAAAAAAAAAGGAAATATAGACACACACATATACATACAAATACATACACACACATGTATATATACACACATATATGTACATGTATACATATATACAGACAAATACATACACGTTTGCATGCACAAAAATGTCTCTGTATGTGTGTGTGTGTGTGTGTGTATCAGAGACAGAAAGTCTCCCCATATATCAAATTATTCAGAATCACACTCTCTGTGTTAGCAAGACACTGAGAATAAAGTGGGTATACATCAGTTTTTGAATGACTGAATAAATTTTGGTATCTGAATTTATAACACCATAGATAACAAATATAAGGAATTCAGAGAAATGTGGGAAGGTCCAATTAAGTAGAACCATAGGAACAAAATATATAATAATTAAAATAACGTATAAAACAACACTAAAGGTAGTTGTACTCTGATCTTAACAATTTATTTCCTCCTTAGGAAGGAGACAAAAAAACACACTTCCCTTCTCTTCATAGAGATGTGGGGATCCTATGGATATGAAAAATTGCATTTCCCTGGCAATCAATTAATCAAGCATTTATCAATTTTTATTCACTAAGTATTCACTAGGAGCCAGGCCCTTTGCTAAATACTGGGGATCAAAGAAAAGCAAAAAACATTCCCTGTCCTCAGGCACAGTTGGCTATATCACTTTGGTGATGTTGTTCAACCTTTGTTTCTGTTACAAGAGAAAGTTTAATGGTATCTCTCTGAGGTCAGAGCTGTTATTGTGATCTGATATGAAATCAGGAAGAGCAGGCAGCAAAGAAAAACCAGGCGCTTTGGAATGACTAGGGAATGGTTACATCTCAGGGTGTGATGAGGTGGACGTGTAGGAGAGGGGGCCATAAGGCCGTTCAAAATAATAAAAGGTTTGCAACTTCAGTTCAGATATTTGGTTTGGGTTCTAATGGTTCATAGAGCTGTCTGTTAAATACAGAAGGAGCTGTTCTTATCATGGTGGTCAAAATAGGTACTTCCTAGTTTATGAAGTTCTAAACAAATGTGTACAGAGCAAAATTGTGCATCACAATTAATGAAAGAAACTTGCAGTACACAAGTCATTGTATACCCTTTGAAAACCACAATTCTAGACAATCATATCCATATTTGGTCCTCCAACATTTCTATGACAATGCCTCAGTGATATTTGGAGGAGATAGAGGATAGAGTTATACAGGGTTACATTGTTATATGTCTTCTTCCATATAGTACTACTCTCCAACCTCTCCTCCCTTTTTTTTTTATTAAATCTATTCTCCTTGAATTACATAGTCCTTATGGATCTTAATATTACTGTTCTTAATAACAAACAACTCTTGTTTATTTCCACTTTTAAAATACTTTTAAACAATAAAATTACTTACTCAGGTGAATAATTGCACACAAACATTACAACATGTTTTCCTAAATTAGGACACATTTTAAGAGCACAGCCAACTTTATAGGTAGAGGCCCAGACAACCTAGAGGAAAATGGATTTAAAAATAAAACACCCTGAAAATTGTAAGTCAGAGCTTACACTATACGACCATCTGAGAATAAACTGTACTTTTTGGGGGGGCAGCCATGAAATGAGCCATTTAGTACTTCTTGGGTACCTCTGCAACCTCCCTTCCACTCCAAAAAAGAGTTGTTTCTGAAACTGAACTAATAAAACCTTCTTTCTACTTCTATACAAATAAAGCATTCTATGGGTCGGCAGGGTATAATAAAAAATACAGGAGAAATATAGAGTGAGGTGCCTTTCGCTTTGGGTTTTCCTTCGGGTATAAAGAAGAGAGCATAGCAAATGGTTTTAAAGAGTTTTGATTAATGAAATCAGTTTCAGCATGGATTTCTGAAATGCAAATGAATTAAAGATATACATTCTTGAGAAATATTTAGAATATTCTGTCCCTTAATTTAATAATTTTGGCCCTTATATCTTTGCTTGTCTGTTATTTCTTATTTGGCATGCCTAACTTCCTCCTCTTTTCAAGTCCCAGACAATGTTTTTCTCCAGGAAGCATTCTCAGATAAACACCTTCCAACTCTGATCAAGTCTATAAGTCCCATTTGATCTTGGACTTGATAATTATGTGTTATTTTGATTATCCCAAGTACACTGTATATATTTTGAGGGTAAGATAACATATAATACATAAGAACATATGATAGTTATAATGAACATACACATGTGTATATATGTACATATATAAGATATTTCCAAAGAAAGATTTAGGGTAGGAGGAGGTTAATTATGTTTTGCAAAATTGGTGTACAATCATTAGACCAAATAAACCATCTCTAGGCGGATTTTGGAGTCTCTACAGAATGAACACAGTATCAAGCATAACAATTTTTTCAAAGTTGATTCTTTAAATATTGTTTTATTCATGGTTTTCGATAAGAGAAATTGGCAAAAGATTAGAAGATATTTACCTGAGTGTAATGGCCACAGACTCTCGAACATGTATTGTCGCTCATCTCAAAATATTTTACTTCATTGAACCAATCTGTAGTAGCATTTCTGACAACATATTTGGTCAGTATGCCCATCCATAAATTTTCTCCTACAGTTTTAAAAAGAGGATGGCATGCATGTCTCTTGCCTATATGAACATTATGTTTAAAAACACATTTCTTTGACCATGCTCTGGCAGTCTTTGCTAAACTGGCATCCCAAGTCTGAAAGAGAAAATAAAAGCAACCAAATTGTGCATAGTTAGAGATTGAAGTAAAATAACAATTTTTTTTAAGTTTACATTTATTATTCTTGTAAAATACAAATGTGTAGTCTTAGCTGTTTGTTCTTTAAAATCATACTCTAATCTCCTTGGTTGCTTTAAGTAACCGATCAATGATCCATGTTGTCAATGGGGATACGCCTTTTACCAATACCAATTATAACCCTTCTGCAACACCATGGGTGGTCTTGGTGAGCTATTGTGACAAACAAACAAAAGAACAAATGAATGAATGGATAAGTCTTCACCTTGCATCCAACCTAGAGATGAACTTCTCTGAACTAACTAGGCTGGTTCATAGATAACAGGCAGATTGTCCATTGCCAGTCTGGTACTAGTATAGGTGGTCTTTCTTAATTCTGTCAGCTTGTCTGCTGATCCTTCTTCTAGCTACAAAACACCCTAATTTATGAAACATTAAAAGAAACCTCATGTAATCCATTTTACATGGCTATACATTCTCAATTCTGCAAAGAGATTGAGATTTGCCTTAAAAGAACAAAGAAGTTGCTGCCTATTGGATCTATTTTCAAACCTAACAACTATAATTTCCACTTCTCTACATATCAACATGAAATATTTTAAAGTCTCATTTTATCCATGTCTTTTTTTCCCTTCAAAAACCAGAGTAGTCAGTCAAACATTTATTGAGCATTTATGTTGTGTTCAGTACTCTTTTTTGAAGTTAGAGTATTAAGGATGCATTTTATTTTTTTGCCTAAACAAGCAACCTGTTTTAAAAATACATTTCCCTGCTCCATTCTAGAAAGTTTTCAATAAAGATGTATTGTAAATCTGTAAAACAAATATTGATTCCAGTGCTTAGCACAGGGCCCAGCATATATTTGGCACTTAACATATATTTATTAACTTTCATCCAAGAAATATGCAGTTGAATAAAAAGGAGATAACATGGATACAAATAGCAATAATACAAGTTAGGATGTGATAAAACATATGTGAGAGAGTAAACAGGGCTGAGAAAAGGGGAAACAGTTCAAAATTAAATGATAGAAGCAGATGCGAAATGGAGGGGTGGCTGAATAATTGATAGGAACTGCAGTTGCGTGACATTCAGCTGGAAGATTAGCGTTTTGGATTACTGGATCCTAGACAGATATGGCAGAAGGACAGTGAATTCTCTCTTGATTCAAGTAGGAGGAGATCAAGTTAGATTGTATTTCAGAAATTACATCATTATTTCGAAGATTCCAAAATGTTCGTTGCTGCAAATGCCAATGATCCCAAACTAATTAATACTGCAAATAACCAGCATTCTCTTCATGATGTTATTTGGATGGAAAAGTGGAGAATTGCCAACTCAAAAGAATTAAAATGACAACTCAGAAAGTGATGGAAAGGAACTGAGTGTGTATAATCAGGCTGTGTTACAGTGGTCATTTGTTTCCAAGAAGTAGCATAAAAAGACATTCAACAGGATTTGTCTGACTTCAAAAGGAAGTGGGCTGGTCTTAGAACAAGAGTGAGAGATGGACAGCCTGGGGAGAAAGAGGAGGAAGAGAGGGAAGCATACCATGATAATCTTACAATACCAAAAGAAAAAGAGGAAGTCCTCCAATATGTTGGGTAGATTTTCTATGAAGTACTTGGAGAGATTCTTTCACACTTCACATTATATCATTTTGTTTCCACAGTTATACAGGAAATTTCAAATCTTTTGGTGGGGGAGGGGAGAGTAACACTCTTTTAGAGAATTTAGAGAATAAATATACTCAATTTAATACTCAGGAGTAATCTGAATAGTTTTGAGAATTCGATTCATTTCTCTCCTCTGACACATTAGACTGAGCTCTTTGAGAGCAGGGACTTTTGTTTTTGTTTGTTTTTGCCTTTCTTTGTATACTAGGTACTTAGCATAGTGGCTAGCATATAGTTGCTTAATAAATTCTATTGGAGTGATTAGCCCTAGTGCATGCCCTCATAACCTTACACTTGGATTATTGCAATAGTCTGCTTTTTGGTCCCTCTGCCTCAAGTTTCTCTCCACTCCATTCCACCCTCCACTCAACTGCCAAATTGATCCTCCTAGAGCCCAAGTCTGACCATGTCATCCTCTCCAGTCTCCCCATTCAATTTACTTCAATGGCTCCCTATTGCCTCCAGGATGAGGTATAAAATACTGTTTAGTGTTCAAAGCTCTCTGTAACCTGGCTCCTTCCTACCTCATTCTTTTTTTTTTTTCAGCCAAAGACAAGGTTTATTAGAACATCCGCCATATTGGCCAGACTCTTAAGGAATCTGAACGTTACTGAGCTATTGGCTAGATTATAAGAATCTGAGTACCTTAATGGAGACAAGATAGACCTTACATACAGAAAGACTGTGGGAGAGATCTAGGAGTGGCCAAGTAGTCTGTGGGAACTGTGAGGTAATAGAATGCCAGGCACCTGGACCAAATGGCCAAGGGAGAATGGAGCCTAGCTAAAGATTAAGGGTGGGAAGTGGCCCAGGGCCAGAGGGAGGTAAGAAAATGGAGGGCCAGGCTAGGTTAAGGGGTAACAGAGAATTGGGAGATTAGGTTTAGCCACAATGAAAAGCCAGTTGATGGGATCATAGCCTCAAGTGAACACCAGAGATTTAGCCACGTGGAAAGGTCCAGGGTTTTTCCTTTCTGGGGTCCAGTTCCCATCCCCATTGTTCCTCGCTCAAACAAATGGGACCCAAATTCTTTCGGAGTAAAGGATGAAGGTCTTGGCTTCTGAAACTGCTTCTTGCTGGCAAGGGATGTAGAGTGGTTCCTGCCTCGAGGGGGTCCCAAAGAGGAGGTTGACTGGAACCAAGCACAGGCTGCCTTCAGGGGATGATGGGAGGACATTGGCTGGTACTTACTGTTTGCTACCAACTGTAGGTAAATGGCCTGTAGTCTGGAAGACACAAATCTGACAGAAAAGACTGCAGGGCCCAGATATGAGACTTAGCTCTGTTTGGATTCAGATAATTCAGTTTTCCAACCATGCAGTATCAAATCTACCTCATAGCCAGACTCGGGAATAGCCAGGTGGGTAACATTTCTTTTCAAAGGAACATAATGGGGAAACTTGAGCCAGGAGGATCCCATTTTACATTGAGGCTAAAATTGTCCTCTCAGTTTTTCCTGATGCTGACTTCCCACCAGCATCACATTCTCTCTGAGTGGCTTGTGGCATTTCTCTCAGATGGTGGATTATTGATTATCAATGGATTTTTATGATCCATTAGACAACTCAAAATAAAATCCCATGAGCTTTTACCCCAAACAGCAAGTTTCACTAATCACCACTTAGGAAAAACTTTTCCAGGATTTACATCTCAAATTTAAATTTGTCCTGGTGTAGAAAGTCAATTGTTAGAGATTATTTCTATATACTTGCATATTCTCAGCAAGACAAAACCCAAACAAGCTTTTTAGCAAGTTTACACATTAAAACAATAACCAGCAATAGCCAAATTATTTCAGCGGTAACCAAATAATGAAAAGTTGCTTGACATAACTGATACAAAATGTTCATCAATTTGAAACTTGAAACAAACTCACTACCAATCAGATGACTTCAGTTTTATTAAATGCATTTCTGAACTACTTTACACAGAGAATCAATATCTCATCATTAACATTTAAAACTACAACTTTAAAAGAGTGTGCTCACCCAAGTTCGGAGGCTAGCTTTTTTACCTTGAGCAGGATATGCTGAACGTGGGTGATGCTTCTAAGAAAAGATTGCCCTGGGTGGGGGAGGGCAAAATCAAAAGTGAGTGGGAAAGGGTGAAACTCTTTTCTCCTTATGAGAGGGGTTAATAGATAGCCTCTTGACTCAAGGGAAGGGAGTGACCAGGTTGTACAGAGGTGTTTCAAAACTCCTTAATGATCAATCACAAAACCTCCAGAATCTGCTAAGATGTTTTTAGCTGTTCTGACTTTTCCCTGTAACCTCCATGAAGGAGGATCCAGGGCTATAGAGGAAAGAGATAAGTAAGCCTGAGGGAATCAAAGAGCACCTGCAGTTTTCCCAATTCTCTAGCACTGAAAGAATTGACAGAATTGGACATACGCTTCCAGAAAGGGCATTTATCCTTGTCCTCCATGCTTCGGAAGGTGTATCCAGGTCCATGGCCTCAAATCAAACCAGTGGACTGACAGTCTGAGAGTGTCAGGCTGAGTAACAGCCTCATAACTGTCTGCCCGAAAAGCAAGACTTCCTAGGTGCTTGGAGAGCGAGCCCAAACGCAGGGCAGGAAAGAAGGCAAGAGGCTTACATACCTTCCAGTCTTGGCTGAAGAAGAACTTGGGGTTAGGCAGTTTCCCTGTATGGGTCACCAAAATGTTGAGGTTTAGGGGTACTAGGACCACAAAATCACAACACGCAGGTTCTCCCTGAAAGAATTCAACCCAACCCTCCTTTCAGCCAAAGATAAGGTTTATTAGAACATCCGCCATATTGGCCAAACTCTTAAGGAATCTGAACATTACTGATCTATTGGCTAGATTATAAGAATCTACCACATTCTTAAACCTTATACCCCGACTCCCAATGTACTCCATCATCCAATATTGTCATCTTTGCCTGGGCCCATAGTAGATGTCCCCCACACCTGCTAGTCTCTCTTCATCATCTTAACTTCTTGGCTTCCCTGGTTCAGCTAAACATTCTCCAAGATTCAGCTGAAGCCCCACCTTCTACAAAAAGACTTCTTTGATCTCCTGATCCCCCTTAACACTTTCTCCTTCCCTGAGACCATTTCCAATTTATCCTGTATTTGTCTTGTTCATACATAGTTATTTGAATGTTGTTTCCCAAACTAGACTATGAGGTCCTTGTGAGCAGGGCCTGTTTTTTAACTTTCTTTATATCTCCAGCACTTGTTCCAGTACATAATGGGTACTTAATGAAAGCTAGCTGACTGATTGATATTAAAACTGATGAAAGTAAAAAAAAAATCAGT